TCTCCAGGCCTCTCACTTCTCTGCAATGACTGAAAAGGAGAAAATCCATTTATTCAACCTTCGTTACAAAGTCAAGGCAGCTGCCATGCTCATGGCTTGTGTGCAAACTTAAATATTATAGTTTGTAAGGGCCAGGGAGCCCACAGGGCCATCATTTTAGCATAATGAAGAATGAAATGAACAAACCATATCATAACACCCACACTCTACCCACCACAATATTGCACATCAAAATACAAGGACAGAGCATAAACTTTCAAGGGGAAATGGTTTTAGAATATTGCAAAAAGCTAAAAACAACTTATGATAGAAAAACACAAGATCTCATCAGACCACAAAAATTGTTATCATGAAAAAGGCAAATACAATTCCGTCACATCTAAGAAATTCACCGTTCACCTTGCAATTTAATTCCCTTTCTTGTGAATATAACGAGAAGAGATTCAACAATAAATCATCAAACAAAATTATTTAAAGCATGGAGATCAAATTGATATAAGCACAAAATCATGGCTACATTGACAACAAGATCACAAAAAAGAAAAAAAAAAACCTTCATGGCTAAATATAAGAGGGACGAAATTGTAAAAACTGTCTATCACAATAGCAATAATTCACTACAATAAATACTATCACAGTGAGACAACAGATGTGGACTCTCTTCTTCACGCCATGCTGACATGTATGGCAGTGTTGCCCAATCACGTTTTGTACATGATTTTGTACAAAGAAAGAGTTACCTGGTGGCACTCATTCTTTCATTTTTTTTCAACATCAAGATCATTTTTCTGGAGCATAATTATTTAACAAATGTGAAAATGAGTATGCTCTAGAGTTTGTACAAGTTTAAGTGAAAGGTGAATATGTGCCTGAGGAGAGGGTGCACAAGTTGCTGAAGCTCAAACAGCAAAACAAACCAAAACACTGAAAAGAAAAAAAATCAAAACAGTTCTGATCAAATTCGAGGTTAGTCAGGATTCTCGTTCTTTGGCCATTTATGTCATACCTTACAAAAGATTTTTTTTAAACTCAACATCTCAGTATCATATCAGAATGAAAATATATTAATTGCTCAGTGTAACACTCCATCATACATCACTTTTCCAAACGCGGAACGGCGGAGTTTTACACCATGTAGTTGACATGCGTGTGAGTGTAATATAATCTGACACAGTAACTTAGTAGTTTCACATTTGTGAAGTGTCTTGGTTAAATCAGGCGCTCGTCAAAATAATCAAATTGAAGAAACCAGTATTTTTCTGCCCGCTAAGCAATTTTTATTGATTTTCTTTTCAGCTTAACACCTTTAATGTCCATTGAAGAACACATTTCTGTGCATTAAAAAAAAAATTTGATCAAAGGGACAGAAGCTGTAAATTTTCAGTTTCTAATGACACTACAGCTTTAAAAGACACCAAACTTTGACAACCGTTTCTCGTTAATTTTACCTCTGACACCAGCAACCCCCACCTCTTTCAATTACAAATGTTTCGATTTCTATTCGAGATAGATGAGTACTATTTTTTATCAAAACCAGGACAAATGAACAAGCTTATGCCCCAAAATTAATGAGTGCCTGATTCCACTATGCCATGACACATTTCATCATCTGAAATACAGACACGGTCTTCTTTTCATTATACTTATCAGCAAAAATATATTGTATACCATTATCTTCATTGGTAATGCCCTGTCTCTTTGTGCATAGTGCCCATAAAAATATCCCAGTAACAAGTTTCTGGAAGTAATGCCCACCTACGACTCTAATCAATGTTAAACTGTTTTTGTTTGCATTTTGTTCCTTGGTCTCCAGCTCACAAAATGTGTGTGTGACTGGAAAAAGGTCTCAGTTGTCGACAGAGCCATCTTTGAGCAACGTGGTGAAAAAGGCCAAAAAAGTCGTACCTGGTAAAAAAGTTTAGTTCCATCAGAAAACACACTAAAGGTTAAAAATGTGGTAGAAATTGGGTCAACACACTAAGGTTAACTTAAAGTTATTTTTCTCCAAACTTTGTTTATACACCCTGGGTTACAAAATGTGTTACATCTTTAAAACTACTCAAGATATTTGAAATTTAAGCGTGTTAAGCATTGAATTTGCTACAAGAATATGCCCATATATTTCAATATCCAAAATTTCCAACAACTGGGACCTTTCTCTAGGCCCACACACAAATGATCAATATCTCTAAAAGTAGAAAAAGATCAAACGGGCATGTAATCTGAACATTTTTCTGGAGCAGATTGATCATAAAAAGACATTTCATATCAAAATGCTATAATAAGAAAAAAAATGTTTAGTGGTGGACCCATTTCTTAGGTACACACACAAATGTGATCTTTAAGCGCTTAGTGAACAACAGCGAAAATAAAAATGGATATGAAGAAAGTAGAGGATGAAGAGGAGAAGGAGGAAGAGGAGGAGGAGGAGATGATGGTGTTGGTGGTGGGGGAGTGGCGCCTGCCACAGCGGATTGCATCATGTACCAAGTTTCGATAAAACAAGCTTTTTTTCTCGTTAAAACGCAATATAAATATAAGCTTTTTTAAAAATGAAAAATGAATTTGATTTGAAATATGCATAAATAATCAATTCCGAGCATTAACAAAGGTACTTTCAATGACAGTGAGTTAAAATGTTAGTGCATTTGTATTTTCCTTTCATCTTCTTTATCCACAGGCATCACACACACACACACACACACACACACACACACATATACACACAAACACACACACGTTGTAGCACAAAAATACACACATACCTATTCACACACACACACACACACACACACACACACACACACACACACACACACACACAGACAAATGTGGACAAAGGCAAGCACATACCAGTAGAAAGACAGACAACCTTGCGGCAGAGAGGCGGATCCAACATGGAAGATTGAAAGACAAATCGTGAAGAAATACCTAGTAGAGCACAGATGCGAATCTCATTAGGTAAACTACAATCTAATTGTGAGCATATTTTACTTGAAGGGTGAATGATTCAGCCGCCTCTCTCTGTAACAACATGGGGTAATCTATTCTGGCAGTAAGTTTTCTTGCCTTGGGTGGGTGTGGGGGGTATAAATATGCTGAATCTAAATTTGGAAGAAAATTATGAGTTGGCAAGGCCTATTACTATGAAAATTTTCAGCAATTTTCGCTTCGGAGATTGCTTACTTTTAAAGAATCACAGGATGAGGTGTTGTTGTTAAATAGGAGAAATGTAGGAAAATAATAACATAAAAATACTCTCTGAGGTTCAAACAGATCTTATCCTTTCAAGTGAGCCTATGCTCGATCACAGGGTAGTAATGTTACGTACAGTGTCCAAGACTCTTCACCTCAGCCAGGAGACTCTTGAAGGAAGGTTGCTCTTGGAGAAAGGGTTTGAACTGAGTTCCTGTACTCAGCACAGTGTATTTTTAACACGGGTAGATGTAGTGAGGAGATGAACTAGAGAGGGGAGATGAATGTGCACTGAAATACAGGCCAGTCTCAGTATTCACACTGCTTTTGAATCGTAAAAAATACATTTTTGTCAGACAATTTATAGCAACAAAGGCTGCTGTTAGAGAAAAAAGGTTGCTGTTAAAGGGGTTTATTAGTATAGGAAAATTCCTTTACACAAGCTTAGGATGCTGTCAGGTGTAGGTTGCTCTTATCTGGGTTGCAGTTAAGTAGACACGACTGTACTTCAAATTAAAAGATAATGAACAGGATAAATAACATTGGTCATTCCATCTCTAGTATATGAACATTCTGTACCGAGTGCATTTCTTCATGTACCATAGTATGGCCCTTCCTTTTGTCTTGTTTGATAGGACATTGGTACAAACTGCTGTTGTCTCATTTTGTTTTCTCCAAATAAGTCATCAAAATCAGCAACAAAAACAAAACTCTCAGCAAAAAAAAAAGTCTGTTCCACTGTGTCTAATAGAATTTTTTAAAACCATATAAATGTGCCTGTACTTGATGACATAATGACCACAAACAACAACAACAAACAGTGCTGACTAAACAATACAAAGGTTACTGAACTGCAATCTTGAGCAAAAACTTACCTAATCCTAGTTTGAACTAAAGACATACTTATATTGATTTCTAAATCTGACATAGAACAGTAGAATATTCAGACCGAAAAACTGCTGTAGGCTATAGAAACCGTTTCCTTTTTACACAATTAACTGTCAGGGAAAAAGGTTGCTAGGTATAAAATTACATTAAAACAGGTTACGTGTGACAATTTAAATGCTCAAGAATTGACCTCACCCATAAAGTTTATAACAGCACAATCACAGGGCTCATCAAAAACAATTTGCCATTTACAAGATTTGCCCAACGAATGGACAAAAATCCCTCTTTCTTGTAAGCACCTTGTAACACAAAACAACTGCAACCCATTTTTTCTTTTGGCGTGCCTTATTTTCATGAGAAGTTCAAACTTTTTACTTCATCTGATTATACCAAGCCCACCCTGATGCCTTTCTCAATTACAGAAAATCCAACAAAACTTCTGTGTTTTGGCTTCAAGATATTTCATAAGTTGACCTCAGTGATAGATATCCCTGAAAAATGGATTACCAGGGGATATAAAACCACGTTAAATCAGAGTTACAAACTGGTTCCGAAAAAAAATCTTAAGCTTTCAGATCCCGTGGATACATTTGCACGGGGACTAAAAAAAAATTACAGATTACATTGTCAAATACGTCTTATATCAAGATGTTGGGTAAAATTAGGACGATTTCAGAAATTCGGACTTCCGGACTTATCCAGAAAATCAACACACCTCTGTCCAATATACTGACTTGCTGCGCAGGCTTCTGTAAAGAACTAGGTTCATGGAATGTAACATCAATAAAGGACTCACTGAGTCACATAGACGGACAAACCAAAACCTTAATTTCTTAATTCAACAGGAAGCCCACAATGGGGGATGTCACACAAGCTCCACAAGAAGCTGTGCACTTCTCCACACTTGTACAGATTGCTTCTTTTTTTTTCCAGTTTTCCTCCTTGACTTTTTCCTTTGTAGTAAGATGTCAGCATACATATAAACAGCATTGTCACAATACTGTTTCCCTCTGAACACCATCATAACCTGTACCAATCACTGTTCGTCACTTTTCCGCCTCGTTTATCTTACTTACTTACTCTCTCCCTATACCGTCAGGTACATAAGGCGGAGAGCAGTTAACGCCATGCTTGCCAGTCCTTGGCCCCGTTCGACGATTTTTTGCACATCCCTGGGTAATTGCTTCATCCCTTATTGAGCCTGTATAGCTTCCAGTTGGTCTTCCTGTGCCTTGTTTATCAATCAAGTCTAAATATATGCTATTTCTTTTCCAGATGTATGAGTTCGGTAAAAAGTTTGAAAACTCTCTCTGAGATGTCATGTTTCTCCTCCTCCACATAAGCTTGAGTACCAGAGAATGGGAACAAACCCAAACCCAGTCGCTTCTGACACAGGTGACACAACAGCCTCTCGACCACAGCTTGGTGTTCATGAGATGATCCTGTCTGTAGTTTGGACAGTACTCGAGCCAGATACTCAAGAAAATGCTTGGTACTCTGTGGGAAGGAAGAGAAAAAAAGTCTTTGTTCCTTTGATATTATAGTCAAAACCAATATCAACCCACACAATGGTCATTCAATCAGGGTAAAAAAAACCCCAAGAGGTTACACTGAGACAAAGCACTGGTATATAAGGTTGTCCTATCAGCTCCATCATTTCAGTGTTTGTTTAGAAATAACATTGAGCCCAACAGGTATCAAAGAATTTAGAGCAATGAACTTTGATGTAAAAATTGCAAATGCGCTTTTATCGCAACAATAAACAAAAGCAAACAATCAGGCAGTTTAGACATCTGACACATACGGCACCTCACCAGCTTGCCAGTAAAGCGTATAACAAAAGAATATCAGGGCACAAGGCAAGAGGAAGACCAAGGAAGACCTGGATCGAGGAGGTGAAGGATACCTTGAAGACCCACAATACAACAACCCACACAGCCAGGCCATTCAGTTTGCCAAAGATTGAAAGCTCTTTCTTCCCTCATTGAAGGATAAAGTAAAGTAAGTGAGTATAAAGAAAATAATTACAATGTAAAGTTGTTTTAAACTCAGGAAAAGAAAGGTAGTCGTTCACTATCACTATGAAATTAATAAATTTATAATCACTAAACTCATTTTTATATAAATGAATATTGATTTTTTTTTTACACCAGCAGATAGATAATCTTGTACATTCCCAATAGAGTACCGTGCTGATTTTTGTTGGGAAACTACTTATCATAGCATACATGATTAGTGATACATAATACATAATACAACTGCTGTCAAGTCCTAAAAAAATATTTTATAAAAAAGCTTGCCATTGTTTATCTCTGTGTTATAACACCCTATTGAGTTGCACTAACAGCTAAGTTGTTTTAGTAAGTTTTACTGCACTTGCAACACATTCAGGTCATGTAAGTGCCGAAGATTAGAGGAGTTACAAGAGAGTAACAAATACAAAAAAGAAGAAGGGGAGCTAAGGACGACAGATGTTTGATAGGAAAGAAGGAGCAAACCACACCAGAGCAACCGCCAACCACTCACAGTTACAACTTAACACTTTGATATTCATTCTAATTATCAGTGTACTAAGAAGCTAAGTATTTTCGTACACAGCATCATTCACTGACACTTCTACAAAATACAAATTTTACAGGGAGAATACCAGGTCCTAAACTATTTATCTCCGGCAAGCTGCTCCCAGTGGCTTGCAGTCAGAACCGCTGTGCCAGTGAGCCCGAAGATATTTTATAAATTTTCGACAATTACCCCAAATAGGTCTCTCTTATTGGTTCTTTAATTAGATTAAGAACTATCAAAATAGGTTCAATTCTTTTGATTTAATTACCAATTTAGTGACGCGTATGTCACTTTTAGGTTTCGTACCAAAAGAGGGCACCAGCATAGTGGGAAAGCCCCTTCCTTTGGGTTTGCTTTGAGTGCCATCTGTTCTGTTGGGCTAAAAAAACCCAACCTGCATACACTTCAAGCTACTTGTGACATAGCACAAAACGAACCCGTCAACCACTCCATGAACAAACATAAGAGATCTTTTTAGTATCAAATTTTAAAAAATAACGGTTTGAGGAAGACAAAAGTACTAGTTTCCAGAACACCAGTACATTAAGGTTATGTAATGAACCAGCTGTGATATAGACAGCAAATGAGCTTATCTGAGCTACATTCAAGTGTGTAAATAAAGGTAAAGACAAAGGCAGATCTACTTTATCAACCTAATAATTTAGAAGTGAAATAAGAATAATAATAATAAATAGCATTTGTATAGCGCAAATCCCCACTCAACAGCAAGCTCTTGACGCTTCACAGTCTATACTATTACCCCAACAGACCTGAGAGCATTCTGAAACAACCTCAACATCCTGGGAAGCATACAGTGCAAGCAGCCATTTATAGGCGCTAAAACACTAACATACAGACAAGATCTTTCGCTGTCTATGGCCGAGTACCCATTCCCACCTGGGTGAAGTGAGGAAAATTCGTGCAAAGTGCCTTGCAAAGAACATGCAACTCATTTTGTAAACTTGCCGAGAGTGTGTTAATTTTCACACCATTTATGATATGTCGCATGAAACATAATAAAAAAGAAATTCAAGAAAAAAATAGGATGTCAAGCAAATCCAATCAGGATTCTTTGGCAGGCAAAAAAAATCTGGACATCTCTCATTTTATTCGAGTCTTGGCAGGTCTGTATAAAAGCAAGTGAAACATGTTGTAATGGAATGAGGTAGCTGAGAAAAGAACAAGAAGTCTAGGCTAAATCTGAGATATCTTTTATCCTCTTGGAGTAGCCACTTACCTTTTCAATATGCATTAGCGCTCTTTGAGGATCATTGTAGTTTTCAACAAGCACTGATACGTCCTGAGCTCTTAATATTGGCTCCTGAGAGAAATAAAAGTAATATAAAATGAAGATAATTGAATATATCTCTAAAGATAATGATTTTCTCAACCCACATTCATTGAACAGATCTATTAGTTATGCAAAAGTAGTGTGAGGAATGGACATTTCTGAAAGAACAATTTCTTTTACAAAGAACATGTTCTTCCATACTCGTGTATATTGAGGTTACCAAAGAGAAGACGAACTCCCAGTTGCAGATCTACACAACGTAACATTCATGTTAGGAACAAATGTAAAGATACAGATATTGACAGCTCTGTTCTGGGTCATAAGATAGACTGGTATTCAAGTCAAGCCCTGTTGTTGTTTTTTTTAAGTTTGATTAAAATACAAGAATAAAACTTTCTTCCACACACATTAATTTATCAAATTCTTTACAACCAACCTCAAACCACCTGCCGTTCCCTATGGAATTAGTAGGAGAAAAAAATGGTAGTAAAGATGTGTGCAAAAGGGAAAAGCCTGTCTCAGGCATCAATCTGACGCCCAGGGAAGCTGCTACCTCTGACATGGCATTCTTACACGACAGTCTGGGGTAAAGCAGAAGAATAATGAAAGGCTTGCAACCAATAAGACGAATCAGCATCACGATTTATCTAAGCTTAAAGAGGAAAAGACAGTCACTCCTGAATATTAGGTTGTTCAGCCACACACTTGACATAGCAGAACACCTAAACAGAAAAAAAACATCCTGAGCATTGCTCCATAATCTTTTGAGACTCACAGAAGACAACAAAAACAACAACACATAAATGCACACACACATGCACACACACACACATAAACACACAGACAAATAAACACACATACACACACATACACAGACACAGAAAACATACGTTGAGTTGGTCCAGCCAATCCCACATGACTGCAGACACAACCTCTGGGTCTTCCTCTGAGGCCAACAATTTCCAGGTTTCATCAGATTTGTTGAGGGCAGTCTAACAATAGATATAAAAAACATCAAGGCATGTAAGTCACACTTATTGCATAGTTGAAGCAAAGGAGCAACACAAGATGATTTACACTTATCTGGGTAGTCATCGAGGAGTCTAAAGAAGATAAAATATGGTCTAGTATGCACATAGTGAAATTGACGGGACATGGAAATCTTTTCAAAACTTACAAATTTTGCTATGTACACTCTTTAAATCTTTTTGAAGATACACGTACAAAAAAAAATTCGACCTGAAAATCTGCTATGTTTGTTTCACAATGTGCCCGTTTGCTGTTTGTGTACTAGACAGCAATCCGTTTTTTTCTTTAAAGAGAAGCATGTCAACAGAATTAATGGCCACATAAACCAGGGTAAGGAGACAGAATGAAAGATATGAACTACAGAAAAATCCAGTGCGACTGATAAACTCCCTCTGCCAGTGAAGTCAAAATCCCCGGGCCTATCACACAAAAAAATCCAACATATTACTCCTCCTCCACCCCTCCCCAAAAGAAAAAAAAACAATTTGTTTTCCTTAAATTAGATTTTAAAAATACAAACTCCCGAAACTATTGAGTTGTCAATTTAGATGGTTCTTGTCCATATATGAATTATTCCATTTAACAGTGAGATGCCCAGCTTGAGCAAAACAGAACCCTATTTCATGTGGATCATAACCTCTTTTGACCCATTTACCTCTATGCTATCAATGGCCTTTCTTTTCTGCTCAGAGTATTCTGTCGTGAGAATAGAAGTGCAAACATCTCGAACACTCATCTTGATACTCAGTTTGGAGCTTCTCAAAGACAGCTTTCTCTCTTTGAACATTTTAATTTCTTCCTCCTCTGCTTTCCTCAACTCTTCTTCAGCTTTTTGTGCCGCAAGTTCCATCTGCTCATTGCTGAGACCATATACAATACAATCGTCATCATCCTCTTCTTCATCCTCATCTGCATCTCTCATTGTTTTTGAATCGTCTTGAAACTTTCCAGGACTTGACTGTCTCTGGCGTGGGGAAATTCCAGAGCTTCTATCAGGTGAGATCCCACTTGGCTTTAGATTGGTGGGGGCGGACAAAGAATATTGAACTTTGGCCTTAGTTGATGAGTTACTGTTTTTTCTGGTGTGCTCATAAGAATCAACATTAGGGTAATCTCTCATGCTTTTCAAATAGCTTTTCTGGGACTGGGATCTGTTTAGCCTTTGCTGTGGGCTGTCATTATCATTATCACCATCTAGATTATTTTGAAAAGATGAATCTTCTGAGAAAACGGAATCTTTGGACAAGCTCTGACTGGCAATTGAGATCAGATCCGGTGGAATGGGGTCAATGACAGCTGCTCGAAGAGATTCTAGAGCTTTCCCTTTGCCACACAGCTCCAAGAGTCGTTCACAGCTCACATATACAATCTGTAAGGCAAAAAGAATAACAATTAGGGTGACCTTATTTAGGCCACATGTGGCCTAAATAAGCTAAACCCCCCCTCCCTTACCTTATTTAGGCCACTGTGGCCTAAGTAAGCTAAACCCCCCTCCCTTACCTTATTTAGGCCACATCATATGGTAGATTTCTTGAACTAACCATGGATTCTGAGGGTCGAGATTCTACTGATCTTTTTATTTAGTGCGGGGGATTATTTCAAAATAGAGGATGATACTAAATGAAAAGTGGACCAAGGGTAAGAGTTGTGCGTGTGTGTGTGTGTGTGTGTGTGTGTGTGTGTGTGTGTGTGTGAGTGTGAGTGTATTTGTTTGTTTTGTGTGTGGTTGTGGTGAGAGAGAGATCTAGAGAGAGAGTAAATGTAATAGTGTGTTTGTATGTGTGTGTGTGTGTGTGTGTGTGTGTGTGTGTGTGTGTGTGTGTGTGTGTGTGTGTGTGTGTGTAATGTGTGAATATTATTGTGTGCAAGAGTGTATACAAAGTCACAGAAATATTCTTTTTGTGCTTATTCAGGTACAGTGCAGGGTGATTTTACCTGCAAAGAGAATTGGACAAAATGGGCAATATCTTTATTTTGCTAATGGTCATATTTAGACAAATCCTATATCATTCTCTTTTTTTTTTTTCTTAACTGCTCATGGTTATTAAAGAGTAAGCCAACTAGATCAAGGTAGTAATTTCTGATTCCTAATATTATGGGCAGTCTTAAAATTTTTTAACTTGTTTTTAACGCATTTCTCAACGTAAAACAGATTCCGTTAAAAAAACAACAACAATTTAATGATCTTATCTTTCTTTTTCAAAGTATTGTGCATACATTTGTGTGAAACTATATATTCTATGCTTTCAAGTACACGAAAAAAGCTAATAAAGTCAAGAAAAATGTTCTTTAGAGACAGATCTAGTAGTAGCTAGGCCCACTGGAACATTTTATAAACCGTGAAAAGATGACCAGAAAATAACAAAATTATCTTATGATCTTCACTTGCACTTGCAATTTTTTTTGACAAATTATAGTCTACCTCATTATCTTTTTTTTCACATTTTTCTTCACTATTCATGACAACTGGCATGTATTGTTTTCAGTTATTATCAAGGAAGTGGATAGGCGAACCACGGGGTCTATCTAGCCAAAAGGATAGGTGGACCCCAGGGTCTACCTAAAAAAATGTTAGGTTTTAGGATGTGAACCCCGGAGTCAGCGTAGTGAAATAAGCAGATCTAGGTTTAACTAAGGATTGGTGGACTCCGGGGTCAACAGAGTGAAATAAGTAGATCTCAGTTTATTTTATAGTAGGACTGGCGGAGCCCGTGGTCAACGTAGCGAAATTATAATATAAGTAGATCTAGGTTTAATTAAGGATTAGTGGACCCCGGGGTCAACGTAGTGAAATCAGTAGACGTAGGTTTCATTAAGGATTGGTGGACCCTAGGGTCAACATAGTGAAATAAGTACATGTCAATCTAGGTTTAATTTTAAGGATTGGTGGACCCTGGAGTCAACGTAGTGAAATAGGTAAGTTTAAGGTGGACCCCAGGGTCTACCTAACAAAATACTAGTTAGGTTTTAGAATAGGTGGACCCTGCGGTCACCGTAGTAAAATAAGCAGGTTTAATCAAGGTGTCCCGGGGGTCCACCAGTCCTTAATTAAACCTTCTTATTCCTCTACGGCTATGGTGACTCCGGGGTCCACCAATCCTTTTAAAATGAAACCTACTTATTTTACTACGATGACCCCGGGGTCCACCAATCTTTAATGAAACCTACTTATTTCACTACGGTGACCCTGAGGTCCACCTGTCCTAAAACCTAGTATTTCGCTACGTAGACCCTGGGCCCCGCGGTCCACCTTAAACCTGCTTTTTTATCACTACGTTGACCCCGGGGTCCACCAATCCTTACTTAAACTTAAACCAAACCTTATTTCACTACGGGGACTCCGGGGCTCACAACCTAAAACCTAGTATTTCGCTATGCAAACTCCGGAGTCCACCTATCCTCTACAGGACTATACTATTATCAATTTGCAATTTTCATTGATTAGCATTTTTTTTTTTTATATTGAATCAGAGACTCGCTGTCTAAAAAGTCCACTGCTAATGCTATTCTTATCAAAGAAAATGGTACAATTTGTTTTGACATGTTAAAAAAAAAAGAGTTAAAAATATCCAGAAAATAACATTAAATGATTATCTCTCTCTCTCTCTCTATATATATATATGTATTTTATTATGTATACTAAAAGACTGAGCAGAGCCTAACAATGTAAATTCTGTGCTCTACATAAGTAGAGAAAATCTTAAGTTTGCGCAAAACAGATTTTAGAAAAAAAAGTTGGATCTAATTATTCTAATAAAAGTAAAAGTGATTGTTATGGTGAGATTTGTTATTGTTAACTCTGGAAATACAGATAGTTGCTGAATCTAAAATTAACTAGAACCGTGCAATTCGTTTTATTTCAATTCCAAAGCCCAAAGGCATAGCAATAAGTTAGATCTAGATCTAGCAGTTGTAGGCTCTCTGGCTGCTTCTAGCATAGGCCTGCTACTACTGATTCTAGACAGGGAATCTAGATCTAGCTATCACCTGCACTATTAAAGTCAAATATATGGTAAAATAAAAACAAAACTGTGAATTGTTTTGTCAGTCAGTTCATCCCAACTGCCATAGCCGCATGTATCAATAGTTGAATAATGCGATACCAAAGCAACACGTTATCACAGTGTGCAGGGAAGAGCGGGGTGCCTGGGTCGCTGATCGGTCGATTCGGTGGTTCGGCTTTTGTAGATCTATGCATTTTTTATGGAAAGCCCTTTTACTAGATCTATTAGTGTTGTGAAAACTTCAACCTCTACAGCTCAGACGTCAAAAGATGTTGGAAAATAATAATACGTCCTGAAGTTTCATAATTTATACAGAAACACAGCCAGTAGTTTTTATTTCATATCGAGTTATAAAAATTGCCTGGTTTTCAGAAACAAATTTTAATAGTTCCAGTTCTACCGAATCGATTTTCACACGAATTCAACCATTTTGATGATCTTTCTTTTCCTTTCAAAAAGATGTAGGCCTGTCGGATGTGGCAGTGCGATTAACACTGAGTGGTTTAGACCCATCAAAACAGGAGGCTTCGTGGCCGATCACAAAAGTCTACAGGGCTTATCGAGGCCGATTCGCCCTGCTGCGTGCACGTTCCCTAAACTGCCTACTAGATCTAGATAGAATCTACTACCGAAGATTCTCTACACGATCTTTGCTACTTCTACTACTACATGTACTACTACGAGACAGTACGAGAGAGTGCCACTCAGGCAAAGATAGTGTAACTTTGACTCAGCCACGTTGTGTACACACTTTTTATTCCCCAAATTAGACCCGAAAGTCCATTCGGAGAATTTGACCTTTTCACTTGACCAAATGTGCCAAAATGGTAGCCTAGCTTTTGCCCCTCCATGAAGGAAAAATCTGACCCTCATTCAAACCATTGGGATTTAGCAAAATTTTGCGTACTATGCATTGTTCTTACAATATTCATTATGATTATGATTTATAAGTTGCACACCAAGACAAAACTGTACTAAATGAGAAATGTGCACCGTTATGAAAGTGGAACGAACTCAGTTGCCTGAAAAGGGTAGTTTGAGCATGTGTGGCCTTAATAAGCTAAACCCCCCTCCATTACCTTATTTAGGCCACAGGTGGCCAAAATAAGCTAAACCCCCCTCCCTTACCTTATTTAGACCATATGTGGCTAAATAAGCACTCCCTAACAATTAACAACAGGAGCTCTTACACCAGGAATAGAACTAAAATTGTATGCTATGGTACTGTACAGACAAAAAGTCCAGATCATGTAAATTCAAAGGACCAACAGATTTAAAGCAGATAAAATTGGCAGACAGAAAAATGTGAGGCAGCATGGTAGAATCAGGCTCTCGTCAATTTTTGGGCATATAGAGTTATTGGTATTTTCTTAAAGCTTGTCCATTTGCCTTGCTTTTGACAAAAACAATATATCTATTTATCTTGGATACAGGTTTGCGACTGAAGGAGGAAGGGTGGCCTTGTTTCAGAGGTAAAATTAGCGAGAAAATGATTGCCAAAGTTGAGTTATCTCCAAAGCTAGTGAGCTAAAAGAAACTGAAAACTTACATCTCTTATGCCTTAAATCAACGTTTTTCAGCGCAATCCACACAGAAATGTGTTCTTTAATGGGCATGAAAGGTGTTGAGCCAAAAAACAAAACTTTGATAAAAATTCCCAAACCTGCGGAAAAATGCAAGTTTCTTCACTTTGATTATTTTGACGAGAGCCTGATTCCACCACGCTGCCTCACAAATGAAAAATGCAGATTAAGTCCATTATAAAAAAGAAAACCATAAAAAAAAACATATTTGGGAAACTTCACTGATCTTTTTTACAGGCATAACACTTCACATGGCAATAAAATAAAGAAATGTGCAAGGAAACATGCTAAGGCTGATCATCTCACTGTAACGTCCCGTTGTGCGCCAGGAATCAGGCATCTGGCCAAACATAAACTTGTCCTCATAATTTATTTTGAAACAGTTCAACTTAACACCTTACATCATGAATATTTTTATAACCAATACATGCTCTGCTTTTGCTAATGCTGACTTGTGAGGTCAGACAATCATACGGCAACATTATCTTTAATCTTTAGAACAGGGTACAATCAGAATCTCCTCTTAAATATATGAAAAGAAAAATGCTGATTCTTATAAAAGTTCATTAAACGAAGTTCCTATTCTACATATTAGTACAAGCACAAACCTTTGGAATGTGTTTCAATTTGCGGGCTTCATAACCATGAAGTAAATTCCTCTGTCGTATAAGAAAGCGGCTAAAAGAAAACTCGAGGGCATCATGAATCCTGGAAGCAATGTCAAAAAAACAAAAGGCACTTAAGGCAATGTGTATCATTCGATTTAGATAGGGAATAAAAATGTCCACAAAACTGACAGTGATGAAATGCCATTATATCTTACAAGTGACAGAATAGAAGGGAAATGAGTAAAAAAAATATCATTGATTTATTATGATCTATGACAGACCATACCCCATCAAATGCAATTCCCTACTATTGTCATTGTTGTTGAGAGCAGTCGGCAAGATAATAGCCTCAATTTGCAATTAACAGACAAGGTGTGTTGTAATAATACTGACCAAGAAGGACAGACCACACCAGAGTACCAATCATTATTTTACTTTTAATAAGAGTTTTAGGGCACTTGCATCCCAAATAGGTCATATTGACTACTCAGTGTGAGACTCCATCATAATATGTCACTTTTCAAACTGGTAAATGGCGGAGTCTTACAATAAGCAGTCAATATAAGAGTCGAAGATTAGAGGTGCTACGACTAGAGAGTAACATACAAAGAAAAGAAGGTAGAGAGATAAGGACAATAAACGTTTGTTAGGAAATAGGGAGCAAACCACAGCACTGCCACCCACCCACATGAGTACCCTTCAGTAGCAATTCTACGACACTCACTTTGAAGGGAAAATGATGAAGAATGGTTCCAGGTACTGCTCAAATTCATGGCAAGTTTTCACTTGCTGCTTAGTCTGGATGGATCCTTTTCTGTAACGAAATAATGACCAACGGACAAATGAAAGATTTCATGCTGATCAGATCTGACCTTATAACTTTTTAAGAATAATTTTGCATATATTTTATCTGTAGCTTTTTAATTCTATAAATTTGAATTCTGCATTAAATTTCTTTTATTCTACTAAATGATATGATAGTTTATAGTCAATGTTAATCTCTGATGTTATATAAGAAACTTCCTCGTCTTGTTAATAAAACCAGCTACAAATAAATTCCAAGTAAGGTCTGTGTGAGGGGGACGACGACGACAAGGAGGAGGATGAAGAGGTGAAAAAGAAGAACCCTGAAACAACTTACCTCCGTGAGCGAACATACTGAATGGACTTGCTAGCTTTCACCCGATTGTTGTATATCAAATAGCAGGCAATAATAAGACCAGTTCGCCCTGTGAGTCAAAATAAAATCTTTAAACAAAACAGACGCGGCGCTGCTCATTGCAAACAAATTACAATAATTTAGCAAAGTAAACTTACAACAACAACAACAACAAAGAGAAAGAAAATACCTTTTTAAGAGTCACCAAAAACTTGAGATGTCAATTTCTAAACAGTGACACTACTTCATTGGGAAGTAAAAGTCAATATCACAGGCAAGATTCTATAAAATTATTTCAGATCTTAGTATTTATTCACAAATGCAATGAAATTGCACCTTGGAGCCATAAGCAGACTGATACAGGATAAAAATTAGACCATAAGAAGGACACAATTTAAATACCTGCAGTCAAAAGTATCTTAGCTTGAAAAACACCATTCTGTTCTCAATATTATAAAGTATTGGCTCTTCAAAGCAAAAAAAACCAACCTTTTCAAATTGTTCCGTATTACTTGCACCACTGACATACATGACTAGGTCTTCTGTTAACTGCACCCACAGTCACAAAGGGTTTTCAAGTTATTGAGTTCTGATTTCTTTGATAGCATGACAAGATTTCAGAAAACAAAGAGACCAGGAATGCTAAAAATACCCCCATAAAATAACAAATAGATAAACAATACAAAAAAAGATGGGGGGTGGAGGGAACTAAACAGCTATAAGGCGTTAAAAAGATATACTTTATTTTTCTTAACTGATCCAGCAACCATCTGGGTTCTAGCCCTTCGGCCTGGTACGTTAAGAAGATATAAAACAGCAGGTGACATGGGAGGGTGGCAAGCAGATAACTGTACTCATAGCTCAACGACTGTTACACTTGGTTAACTGAAGCCATCAATTTAGTGTTCGTAACTTTTATTGTTTTATAAAATGAGCCACTAGTGACAATATTCTCATAGCTGCACATTCACTGGTCCGAACACGTGGCTCAGGGAGGGCGATGGCCTTGGCTTCATTATGTGAGTGAGAACAGTGTGTATTTGTCAGTTGCAGGACTATATCAACTGATAAATGAGCCTTTGCCAATAGGTGGGGGATTCTTCATATATATACCTTACAAAATCCTTTCCTATTCCAATAAGAATGGTGCTACAGCTTTGAAATTTGTATATGTTGTGCTTAATATGATGTTTCAGCTATGGAAGCAGAAAAATAGCAGTCGGGCCATCAGAATAAATCTTACAAATATTTTTAGTTCTGAAATTGATGTATTTTTAGAATGCAAAACGTGACGCGTCAAATTCGTACTCTTTCTGTCGTAAAGCTCAACAATGAAATAATTGCTGAGAAACTCGTCCTTCTACTCTTTTACGACTACGACTACACTATTTGTGGTGCTATATCAGGAATAATGATATCTGTAGCTGTTTTTTCTTTGTGAACCTTTTAGATTTTCATTTTCGAGCATAACTTGACCATGCGTAAATTTGCAGTAAACGGAAATCCCGCGAAGCCTCATGCTCTATCATCATTTGTTATGCTCGAAAGAACCAATCAGAAAACGAGAAATAATAGGGGTAGAGGAACATGGATTGCAACTGTCGATCCATTCAAAGAGTATTATTGTGCGATACAAGACGTCGAGAAGAATTACGACGGATGAGACGAATTCATTTAAATTTTCTTATGTCGTCATCAAATCTTAACATGTTATGTTCGAAAATAGCTGTTATGTCCGAAAAATGTTCCCCCCCCCCCCCCCCCCATTTAAATAAATTTAAACCAAGTAATGATTAACATCACACGCCGTTCCAATGGTCAAGTCGTGGTAGATATAGATGCCTCCATGCGTACCAAGCTAGATGTCAACAAAAGTGGAAATTTTGATGTAAATTGATGATATGTTCCAAAATGACCACAAACATTTATCCATTATGTGTCATCGTGGCTATGTTCAAAAGTTATTTGGTATCTTGCGAGGAGTCATAGTAAAATGTGAATTATGTGGCATTTTTTCACCATTAGCATGCATTACGAGTCAAACTGAATCTCCTGAATCTTTGTTTGCCAAAATTTTCAAAAAAATTAATTAAAATATGGAACTGGAAAGTTTTTCATTTCTTTCGGATATAACTATGATGACACAAATGCAAACAGAAAGATATTCAGAATTTCTTTTTTCTGTGAATATATATGCTCCTCATGGTTATATTTGAAAATTAAAGCAATGAGAAAACTATTAAAATAATTTTATGTTCCATAAATTACTTTTCATAACAGGCATTGTGAGTCAAATTTAATCTTCTGAATTGCTGTTCGCCTAAATTTTCATAAAAGAAATTAACATAGGAAAACCAAAAGTTTTTCTTTTTTTTCGGACATAACTATGATGACACAAATGCAAACACAATGGCATTCAGAATTTCTTTTTCCTGTGATCTTCACCATTTTATATGCTCGTCATGCTTATGTTTGAAAACTAAAGCAATACGAAAACTGTTAAAACAATTTTGACTGTTTAAATTCTAAAAAATGTATCATCATTATAGTTATGTCTGAAATAATTTGACTTGATGTTATGTACACCAGTTACACAACTTAGCATGCCATCTGTAGGTCTGAAAATATATATTTTTGTAGGAGGAGACATACATGAATAGAAGAATTCAAGTAAAAACGAAATATTAGAAACTTTATAATCAACCCTCTATGCTACATTTTAGGTACTCACCTTTTGGCAAAAGCTCAAATATACTTGATGTATGCTGCACAGCTATAATATGCATTAAAGAAATCACACACAACTCAGACTTACCAAGTCCTGCGTGGCAATGAACAGCTACTTTGCCCTGGGAGACAGCAAACTGCATGACCTTGACTATGTCCAGCAATGTCGACATTGGGGCCACCCCGTAATCTTGCCTGTATGGAGAATGATTGCTAGTTCGTCACAATTGAATAACAGAACACGACTGAACATGAGACACAGAATGCAAATTTCCTCTGATATTGTGCACAAAAATATTCCAGATAAGTTTGATATTCGGAAATAATACTAAAAATGTGGTTCTCAGAAAGTAAGAGAAAATGTTCCTATTGTAGAAACAGGCCCTACTATTTTGCAGTTTTATTTCGAGGACTAACTTAGCACTGATATTGCAATAAAAAAGACAAAAGCATACAGTTGATGCCTTCCATGACAGGGAATGATCGAGCCTTTAAAAAAAAATCTCTTTCCCTTTCCCTTTAAATGCTTACGCAGAAACAGAAGCCATTGCAAAGAAAAGGCTGCTGCCACAGAAATTTTTAAATTCCGATGAAAGTTAGGAAAGAATACTTACATTGCAAAGTTGTAGAAAAATACTGAAATAAAAGAGAGAAACATTTTTAAATCATCACCACATATGAACTTGCATTCAAATAAACAACATATGATGTATCTACCCAAAAAAATCAGTAAAAGCAACTTATTTTTTTCCTCACAGTGCAGTATCATATTTGAGTGCTTCAGCCAAGCCAACAAAGAAATCCAAGCTCTAGTATCAATAAATACTTTCATCCTGTACCAGTGACAAAGGGAATGGACTTTGCTGGACAGTAAAGTGGGGGGGGGGGGGGGGTTAAAGATTCAGGGTACTAAGGTATACATTTGCTTTAAAAAATTGACAGAATACAAGGGGAAAAAACCCCTACTCTGGTAAAATTTTTCGAGTTTATTTCATTAAAAGCTTAGTTTACTTTACTTTAGTTATAGTAAGAGTTTTGCAGCACTTGCAACACAAACAGGTCATATAAGTGCAGAAGATTATACCTGTTTCTAGGGAGAAACATAAAAAGAAAAAGGAGGAAAGATAGTTATTTGATAGGAAAGGCTGAGTGAACCACACCAGAGCACCCATCAACCACCCACATTGATCAAAGGCAAAAAGAAACACTAATGTATTTAGTGAACATATCTCCCTAGTTAAGATACAGACAGAAGCAAGTAATGAACTGGGGAACAAAACAAGAGATAAACATAGAGTCATACGTCCTGCCTCCATGAGATTGTGGGTGCTGTAAGAGAAACCGCCTGAGTCATTGCCGTATCCACAGTATACATGTTCTCCAGGCTCTTGCAGATTGATAACAGTCTGAATCCCTAACCTGTGGCCCGACAAAACAAGGATTCACTTTCATTAAACAAACTTTAATAATAAACTATAATTTTTGAAGGCTGTGTACATTCCATGAGGTGCTAACATCGGTTGTAACATTCAATTTGAAGCTGTTGGTACATGAAATACAGTCAACTCCAGAAAGGAAATCCTAGTTTACACTTTTGGAATGTTCTCACACAAAGGAAAATTGAAAAACATTTGTTGATGTATAACTGTATTGTTCTCAAATAATATGGCTCAATTGCACACAATATTCTCAGCAGATAGGGTCCACAAGAAATACAACATATAACCTACAGGATAGAACAAAGATTAAACATTTTGTCAAAATACATTTCTAGTCTAATCAATAGAAGCTTTTCGCAGGTAGTACCGTAGGAGATTTAAGTCAAATGTACCATATCAAAACCAGAAAAATGATATTCAATCCTACAAAACTGGATCAGCACAGATACAGTCCATGCCGGCTTTAAGCACGGTCATCGAGAGAAAGTTTAAGCGTGCTTAAAGCCGAAGCGTGCTTAAGTGCGAAGTAGACATAATCCAGAGATTTTCATGTAGAAAATTCCCCGTGCTATTTCCCTTTGTTTGTAAGTAGGCCTACAGCGGTCCCGCAAAAGTGCACTGTTATTTAGACACCCGCCATGGTAGTTTTTGTTCGCATGTTTGTTTTTATTTTGTGGTCGAATGGGAAATGAAAACTTAATTTAGACGGCCAGTCTCGATACAGCCTACTAGGCCTACTGTAACACACTGCCTGTGCGTACCACAGCCCGCTGCGCCACTCATACCACCGCCTTCATCCCACCCCGCGCGTGATACACAATCAGGATTAATGGATAACGAGGTTCAAAAGTGAAATCGCAGCCAGCCTCCCTTTCTCGTCTTAACGACTCTCTTTGTATTTTTATTTTTTTTTGGTTGTGTGTAGCTTTGCCCCAGGCCTAGGCTAGATCCGATGTCCACACGCACGGCTGTGTGCATCTCTCTGCCTTCCTCTCCGCCCGTGTGAGTGTGTGTGTCCATCACTTGCGTTCTTTGTGTTTCTCTTGACACACTCCATTGCTGCGGTGTAAACTGTGTTCGAACTTCGATGGGTCATAATGAAAATATTGATTGGCTTGTAAATGAAGCGTGCTTGAAGCCGAAGTTACCGTGCTTAAAGGCGTGTAATTTATATAGCAAAAATTTGGTAAGAGCCGTTTAGCGTGCTTGAGTCCGAAACGTGCTTAAGGCCGGCGTGCTTAAAGACGGCACGGACTGTATTAGGCAATGAATCATGTACGACTTCAGTAATTACAATGTTTTCCAAAGTGCAGGAAACATAAATTTCAATTTGAGCATAATTTTAACGTAAACCTTAAAATAATGTAAATGATGCCTTTATAAAGCTGAAACATTTTTTAAAAATGGTTAAAGTACAGCAAAGAGAGAAAATATTAATTTGAGCAAGAATCTTCTTCAAAACAGAAAATTCCTTTTGACGAATGGCTTCATAAGAGCTAACTTACTCTTTAAACTGTTCAATCATCTTGTACTTGTCAATGTTGAGGTTGGAAGGTCGGGCCATAGCTAAGATGTTGTCTGTCACCCTATAGAGAGGGAAAAGATGATACAGAAATGGAAGCTACGCTGGCATGACCGTAAAATTTGGAGGGACACCCAGATAACATTTATAAAACAAACAAGATTGTATGAAAGAAGAAGGCTACTGACAAAATACATTTTTTTAAAAGAAAAAATACAAAGTATTCTGAACTTTCAGACATTTTTGGAAATGTGGTACTTTTTCATGTCTGAGAATAAGTTCTTGTGATTGATTCATCTAGATTCTAAAACAATACTTCATTCTGTTCAAGTAAGATAATGCACAACTAACACCCAAAGAATTTTTTCTCTGAACAAAATCAATCCTCGTTGTGGAGACAGAAGGTAAAAATGCTAAGGTAGAAAAAGTTATAAACTGAACACAGAATAACAGCTAATAAGAAAAAGATTGAAAATGGTTGCCAAATTAGAAAAGTCAGAGAAAAATACAATAGCATTACATAACACATCATTACCTCATTCGCTACGCTGAGCCGTGGGGGGCGCGCGGCTAAAGTGCCGTCAGTACGCTAAGCCGACCCCTGCGGCTTGAGAACCAACGTTCAATTTTAGCTTGGTTTCTATTCCAATCCACATATCTATGATAAAATAAAGGTCATAATATAATGTTGACTTCCGGGTCAAGCATTTCCACCGAAAATCGAAAGTTTTGATTCAGTTTTGAAACACGATTTCGAAGTTTATGCGACATTGTTTTATCGCAAAGCCCAAATCATAGCCCAGACACCAGTCTTAGTACTTTTACACAACAAAATGTATCAGTATTTTGCTCACTTAAGATATTGATACTATTGGACTCAAATTGCCAGTGCACTGTAATTGAGAAATCAATATTTTTGAGTGCTAGACCTAGGCCCAGATCTAAAGAGTCGAAATGTCTTTTTTTCCCCCAAATCACTACTTTTTGGTGAAATTACTCAAAATGTACCACTCAAGATATGTATAGGTTTATTCTAAATGCAATTCTGAATAATTCCATATAAGATACCAGTGGGTTTTTTTCTGTTTATGATCTTTTTTTCAAAATTCTTTAAAAAAAAATTTTTTTTTCAATATCGAATGTTATGATCAAAATGTACAAATATGATGGAATGTATGTAAATAACTGCACATTTTTCAATATTTTCCTGTTCTATATACAGTTATGGTTATTTTGATGTATCATTTGACTAGGTGCAAACATATTTTTTGAGTTTCACCTGAGACTATTAATTTTTTATATTCAAATTTTATCCGCAGCCAATCACAGTTGTGTTGCATAATCGTCTCTTACAGGAACCAAAGTTGAAAAATACACAAATAAACAATACAGATGTATTCTACAAACCATACTGAAAATGTTGGTATATAATATGTTGATATTTATTTGAATTTATGGCCCCAAAGACCTGTGAACTGCGCACTAGTCACCATCTCAATTCGCCCTCCCGAAAAAAATTCGTCCACAAGCCGAAAATAATACGTAGCGAATGAGTTAAGACTTTTCACTACAGTCTACATTTGAATGGTGAAGGGTAATAACTTTCTCTGCTACCCTTCACATTACTTCTGAGTATTTATTCTACTAGAGGAGTTAAAAGAAAAGTCTGTAAAAAAATTATTCCTGACAGTACACATACTTTAGAACACCTGATGTAAAAGTCGAATGACTTCCCCCCCCTCTCCCCCCGGTTTGGTCAACAGTTTGAAAAACAATAAAATCATTGCGACAACTACCTACCAACATTATTAAGAACAATGTACACATTGCAATGTCTGCTATATGTGCATGGAGACAAAGAAATCAGACATGATCACTGCATGTAATTACACATTCTTCTCTGTACTCAATATCTAAAGCAACTAAAAATACATTCTGTTGTAACTTTAAGCTTCTCTCACTGGTTCCTGGTTAACATTGGCCAGTATAATGGGTCGTTGAATACATCGACAGTACCCGTCATAAACTGTGTAGGTCACAAACTGGGTCAAATCTTATGTTTGTCTAAAAAGGTCACATGGAAACGCAATTGCATCATATATTGATGTAGTGGAAATATTCCCTAAGGCTTACCATTCAGAATAGAGCCCTTTCACTGCCTGTTGCTCAGGAGTCCAGAGCTCAGCAGTGCAATACTTGCAGGCCTTTCCCCCACAGAACATCTTACACTGGCTCTCTCCTGGTATCATTTTCCGGGCTTGCTCACTGATAGCCCAATACCTGGAAGATGGCTTCTTCTCTGAAAAATACATTAAAAATACAGTCGAAATTGTCTAAGATGGACACCCATTGTTGAGGAGAAAAGTTGTTGTCTTAGACAGGTGGAAGTCTTACACAATGTCATGATAATGTAAAAAAAAATATGCAATGGTGGAAATGAGAAGTGGCCGTTTATACCGGTCATTGTCTCAAAGAGGTGGCCATTAGAGCAGGTTGACTGTATAAAAAAATCTTTAAACAGACAAAACAACAGATGCACACATTACTTTTTGTTAGGATAAAAGGCACATTTGATACATTGCTCTTTATCTTTTTGTGCGTTGTGATCTTCTTGCCATCACTGAGATGGCACAGTAAACGATGATCCACTGACATTCAAATTTCAGATATAGCTGTGAAACTGTTTACTCCCCTAGACTGACAATGTTTTTCAAGTGAGCTCCCTACTGTAACATACCAAAGGAATTTTACTGCTTCTCTGGGGAGCTCTGTGCACTTAAATATAATGGCTGAAAGAAAATAGCAGAACAACAGCAAATGTTCATTTCACTTCTCATGCAGACTCATCAAAGGAAATTTTTAAAGCTGTATATTAAGTACATTCCAAAGAATTATTCTTTGGACCCCCATGCCCTTTGATGAACTATGACTTTTTACAGAATGTTTCAACTGTATGCAAGTCAAGTGAGAAAGATGAATCAGATAAAAGAGGCAAATAAAGTCACTTCTGACAATGTTCAGCTTCCAACAAGTTTTCTCAGTCATACACAACATTTCAAAACTGCACACCTAACAAGAAAATAGTTTCAAATATAACAATAATACTGTGAATGATCTACATTATGGTAAAAAAACAAAATGGGGGGGGGGAGATAAAACACTTTGATGGAACTGAAATTTGTGTAGTGATGAAAAGAAAAAGTGATTCTCACAAGAAAAGCATGCACATTCCAAACAGAAACTTGAATATTCTAATGGAACATTCTATCACCATGGAGAAGTTCATCTTCTAATAATGACCCAACAGTGACCCAACTTTTTAAACAAATCGATCAATACAGAACTTTTTTTCTCTTAATGACTTAATGGCATTATCTTCTGTCTGTCCCCTTACCTTAGCAATTAACAAACAAAGAGGAAACCTTCTGCATACTTCAGAGGTAAACGAACAAATATCACACTTAAGAAGGGTAAAATCAGTGATGAAAATGCAAGAACTATTTTAAAATTATGACGATTTGTTCGTTACAGTGAACATTTTTATCCAAAGGTAAGACAGAGGCCATCAACAATTGATGCACACTCATGCAAAAGGAATGCAGTAGGTAAACTCAAACAATTTGTATGACACTACCTGGAAAAAGAAAAGAAAACTGACCTGTACACTGAAAAAGATTTCATTGGGTGAACAACAGAAATCTAAAGTAAACCTTAAACAAAAAAGTTCTCAATATCTCACAGACTTTTGTAAAACTGAAATGAAAGGGCTGCCCAAACCTTAACTTTGAATGAAAATAAGTTCAAGCGGTGAATTTTAGTTAAGTTCAGTTTTGTGAAACTAGACACCTGGTGGTTCTATTATGATTTTCTTAATCACCTGCATCAGGTTCTGAGTAACCTAAGCAACCATAGGAGGTAATACCTGTTGGTCAAAAAAGAAAAAGCTGTAAAGAAGACATTCTTAACCATTGTTCCTTTGCATACATATGCTCCACAAATGTTTCAAAGGTGTACCACTGGTGTTCATGAAAGAATGAGACAGATGTAAAAACCACTTCAATCACAAAGAGAAATGTAGGTTGTGTGCCTTCGTACTTTCAGAGCCTTATAAGTTTGTGCTATGAGTACAAACGTCCAGGCACTGCTGTGGTCCCCTCATACATTTTCATTTGACTTAATAATATATTTTTCACTGCAAGAAATCCATTTAACGGTTTTAAGACTACATCTTTCCAGATCTTTTCTCAAAGCCAGACAATAGACACATTCTGGGATATACAAATTTTCCCCAAAGTTTATGCAGTGACGGCTCCAATTATGGCTTAGGCCAGCTGCTAGCTTCCCAGGTTGGGCCTTTGGTAAATAATATATTTTACCTTTAAGGTAAAACATTTTTAAAATTTGTAAGCAAACAGGGATTCTGTAGCCTCAACTCCAGACTATGTTACCTGAATTTCCAAGCATTGTTCAAGACGTCTCACTTGATATTTTAACTTATATAACAACTGCTAGCTAATTTTTTTTTTATGATGCCCCCTTAGAGAGAAAAGACAACCCAGGCATGACATTTCCCCTCCCCCCCCCCTTCCAAAAAAAAAGGAAGAAAGAAAAAAAAAACATCAATAAAAAAGAAGCAATCCACTTTCTTCCTTCTTCCCTACCACATCACCCCTCCCTCATTTACTCTTTCTCGCCCATGAACACTGATTTGGAAAGTTTCTAGCTCTGTTGGGGTTGACGTAGCACAAAAGATGCAAACAGCTAACATACTTTGATCACTACCTCCACATAAGATCACCTGTTTGAATGCATGGTCATAATCATGTGTAATAATTGTGTAATTTGAAAGACAAATTTAGGGGAAAATGAAAATGAAAAAAAAAGAAAAGGGACAATGGGTGGAAGAGGGTCGGATAAGTAGGGGTTTGGTTGAGTGATTGGTCCTGTTTTACGATTGAACAAATGTCACATTCCATTCTGGTTGGCATGTAATGCTCACTAGGAACTAATAGCTAGGGCATTTTGCTTGCTTACCAGAATAATATTATTACAATCTGACATTCGCATATTTTCACCTATGATTGATCCTGTGACATAAAGCCCCTTCTTCTCAGCTATTCTTCGACTTAAACTCTTTGCTCAGAACTCTTCATTATTCATGTTCATGTTTCTTCTAGAAAATAACATTGCCTTCTCTCATTTGATCTCGAAGTTAAAACCCTTAACAGCAATCAACAGAAAACATTCAGTATTGCGAAATGACAGCCGACATTAAGACAATTAAGTAAATGGAAAAAGCAAGTTAAATAATAGATAAAACTGTAAGATCTATTTGTGGCAACCTCTATCCTCCTGTTTAGTGGTTTGAGTCAGCCATCTTTTGAGAGTAATAAAAATATATTGGAAAACTATCATCCCCATACCCAAGTGGGATTACCATTCCTTCCGCCACAATATGAAATAATTACATTACCATTTTTTTAAGATGATGCATTTCCATGAAGGGTCATCAGTTTATTTACTTCTAGGGCTTGATCAAACACTTTTTCTTTGTCAAAGATTACAAAGATTTTTAAAAACCTAGAAATTTTCTTTACTTTATTTCAGTGAAAATACGGTGCTTCTATATTTTCCAGAGGATCAAGAGGTGACATACTTTCAACAGACTTATACATGTTTTCTTTCTTAAGTACAGGACCTACAGACATAAGCGTTTAATCAATATCCCTACTTCTCAAAATACATTCTCCTCATCCTTTGCATGCGGTACTGACTGGTGTAAATTGTCACAACACAAACAGAATAATAGTGACAGTGTGGTCAATTTGAACCAATATAAGAAAAAATAAATGAATGAACAAACGTAGATCAATTATATTTCATAGGTTAGAAATAATCCCTTGATAAGTGGATAATAAGTTGAGTCCAAAGACAGCTAATCAGTCATATCAATCTCTCTTCTCTGCCTTTCAGATTTGGTTTTGGTGTTCCATCCACTTGCAATGAGGTCTGTTGATGGGAATAAGTATGTGGCAGTATGCATGTCTTATGATGGTTATGCAGGTCAAAGTCACATGCAAGAAAAACATAAAAACATTTCAAAACAAGTTAACTTACCTCTGTTTTTTTCTTTGATTCCCCCTCCCCATTGCAAGTCCTCGTGACCAGGGTAGACGTGCTCATCAGGGTCTGGATTCATCTTCCTCTCCTTTTCACTTGTTTTCTGGTTAGGTAAATAGCAAATGGTCATAAAACAGACAATAATACAAATGAAAACAAACACATACTATACTTTGGAAAAAAATCTTGTTGGGCCCTCTCGCACTCCAATTCTCATTTCTGGGTGACGTGGTCCTCATCACTCTTGCTAGATATTTACATCTTTCCTGTTTACTTCCTTGGTGCTGGGAAACTAGGACTCTTATCACATTCTCCTAAAAGAAAGTCCATAGGCTACCATAAACACTGATTGCTTGTCTTCCATTATAAATGCACATTTTATGCTATAATATCAATATTGGTGATACTAACCAGGAGTGAACATTTTTTTTCCCACATGCCCAGTCCAGCACTAACACAAATATCTACTAGCCCAGTAGAAAAGTCAACTTGCCCGTTTTCAAATATGAAAACCATTAGACTGTCTATATATATACAAAGAAAGAAAAAAGTTGCAAATAGTACTAAGACGTGACATAAAATAATTAAATCATGTCTTGATATGCTAGTACATGTAATCTGCTTTAAACTTTATCTTTATACTTTTCTTTTTAATTATTTAATGGCTGAATATGATGGCCAAACACAAATTCCAAAACGTTCCCTGTCTTAATGATGTGTTTATGTCTGTTCTACACTCTACTGTCTCTGTCACCACTTTGCCACCTCCTTTCTAATAGGGGGTGCCCACTAGCGCGATTGGGTTGAGTCGGGTCGATTTGATAGTCGGGGCTAGCCAAATTGAGGGCGCAAAGCGGCCATTGTGGCAAAAACCAATCGACTTGGTTACCTTACTTGTGTGAAAAACAATAAAAGTGAAACTAACAAACTGTGCTATTCCTATTCTTCTTCAGGAGAAATGAAATTGCGCGGACTTCCGCGGACACTTTTTTGGCAGAGTGAACTATCTCGTTATATATGAATGCTCTTTGATAATAGAAATTTATCGATGTAACCCATGTTTATGGGATTCCAGGCTGCCGCAACACTGCAACAGGGAACTGCCTAGAGGAGTCTTGTAAGCCATTGAGGTTAAAGGTTTCTCTACTTTAACTTTAAGGTCATCCAGTACAATTGCGGCAGGGTTGTAGAGTGCACTGAAACCACCAGAAAACGACCCGACCCGACGACCTGACCCGACTCGATCTGCTCACGATAGTGGGCAACCAGCATAAGGCAAGTGTCACACTGTAGTCCACAAAACTTGGCCCTTCAATGCAGATGTACATCAACATACATGGACAGGACATCTGTAGGCCTACAAGTTGAGCTTAATTGCCCTTCAGTCAGATTTGATCTGCTTCAAGGCTGAAAAACCCTGTCTACACTAGCTGTGGACAAAGGATGTGTGAACAGGAGCTCAATTTGAAGTAGAATGCTTCTGAAGTCTTTCTGTCTTTCTGGGTCTACAAGTAACTGGCTTCAGATGGTTAATGTTCTTCGGTTGGCCACTGGCATTCTCCTCAGTCTTTTGAGGCAGGCCACTCCAGTGTCATCGGTGAATATATAACTACCTCTCTCAACATTAAGAGAAGACTGCCTTGTGATAATATTAATGACTTGCCCGGTCGGGCAGGTTAAGGAGCCATTCTACCTCCCCGACGGAGGTGGTTACATGCCCCGGGCAGTTGTTAATGTTCACTCCTGCTACTTTGAATTAGCTTGATCTCCTGGATATGTTGAATATAAACCAGCTTTGCCAGTAGTTCATAAATCAAATGTATATTTTGCATACTACACCTGCTCACACAAAGGGCCAAGGTGAACCCAAAGAACAAACAAATAAAACCTTCCAGAGACACATCATGATTGTTCACATATAATGAAGCACTCCTGCAGCGACCAAACGGTGGTGGCAATGCACCTGCATTATATCCTGTAAACAGTGACCCTTATCCCACTATAATGTTATTACCTGTGGTTTTGACCAGTTCGGCTGCAGCTTATTAAAAATACAGTCAAACCTGCCCTGACGGAGACCTCTATAAGACAGCCACTTTCCATTCCCCCCCTTGCTTTTTTTAATATATAATTTAACTGTGTAAAACGGGCACCTGTCCAACGTGGCCGCGGTCACTATATTTTACCACACAACCCCTATCACACTAAGCAATAACACCTGTCTTAGACGACCACCTTAGTGACTCCATTACGTTTTGTCATAAATTGTGCATTGGCCCCTGATGTTGTGGGCGAGCCGTCATAATTCAATCACCTGTCGTTGTTGTTAGGTAGTCCCTCCAACCGATCAAGTTGCGTAGACCCCTCCCACTGTTGACCAATAGCTGCCAATTTTCAGCTGCTGGTGAGGTAAGCGTGTGATCCCTATAACTCATAAGCCCCGCCCAGAACTCATACACGCAAATCGTAAGTGAGATGAGTGGTCACTGTTTACCCAGTCTGTAACAAAGTAACAAAGGACGTCATGTGTTTGTTTTAACATGGCACTCGGTCTTCCTCGTCTGATACATTTCGTTTTATTGTCACCCTTGGGTAAAATCAGCAACAAAATAAAAATTACAAACAAAATACAAACCACCACCACCAACAACAACATCAACAAAGACAACAACAATGCGGTTACTTTCGATTGGGATCCGACCTCAGATGGGATATTTTCTTCCTCTTGATCAGTCCTGCCTAAGACGGCCACCTGTCTTATACGGCCACTTTTTTCCTTGACAATGGGTGGCCGTCTTACACAGGTTTGACTGTATTACTATCAAACTATCACCATCAAGGCCAAGGCCTGTCAGTGATTACACCAAAAAGTCCTTAAATACGTTTTTAATGAATGAGAATGCTACAAATTTTAAGCTACTCTTAAACCTAAATTCGATATCAAACCAAAAGAGAGCATTGAACCTACCCGTTTCACTCTCAGTCTTCGATACTAAGTACTAATTTCACCAGGGACCAAGATACGAAGACGGGTAGCCTATCAACTCAACTGAAAGGACGCCCAACTGTAAACCGTCATCGACATCACATCAGTATACAGTTGCGAGTTTTGAAAAAGGTAGCCTACAGTTTGAAGGTCGCAAACACTGAATGTTTTGAGCATATCACAGATAGAATTAGAGCTTTATACCAAAAAGTTCTCATTAGGTTCAAAACAAGATTCGTTAGAAAAACTGCTCAATTCTAGACTATTTATAAGAGCAGTCCGAGCACGTCAAGGAATGACAATAACAGCCTCGGACGCCATTGTAGTTGCTACAAACAATTTATTGGAAAAGCGCAAGAGAGGGCACTCCCATAAACTTGTAAGCAGTTCTCTCCCATCTGTTGCATGAATTGTTGACACTGGCTGAGACCAACACCAATACATGTAAAATAATTATTTTGGGGGGTTTTGTTTTGTTTTTCTTTTGTTTCTGCTTTTTTTTTGGGGGGGTGGGGAATTGTTTGCTTATTTTTGTTTGTTTGTTGTTCACTTGTTTGTTTGCTTTTGTTTTTTCTGTGATTGTGGGTTGTTGTTTTTTTGCATCTGCTTGTTTATAAAAGTAAAAGCTACCCTCTCCCTGCACTGTTTCACTGTTCCTATTCGTTCCCCTCATATTTGCAGTGCTGCGTCTGGTTCTGTTTCATTTCAATATCGTTGACCGCCTGTTAAAATGTAGTCTTCTCAGCCCATTTTTTTTTTTAAATCTAAAAAACATTGTCTATATTGCAGTTTCTTATAATCTGTCGTATCGATTGGATATAGGCTCAAGAAATATTTTGTCGGAATTCAAATTCTAACTGTTAAAAAAAAAGAAGAGAAAAAAATGCAGATAGATTTACATTTTAACACCTTGACGATATGTTTTCAAATCACTATTGCCCCTGATTTACCAGACCTTGAACCAGATGCCCAGATTCAGACAATCAATTAAAAGATTGTCCCCCTTTTGGAATTAGCACAGCCATCCAGAGATCATAAAGGACATCGAAGGAATTCTCAGCAAATCAACAAAGGAGATATATCCAAGAGCCAGACACACCACCACATCGGTGGATCAGAGCATTCACAGATGGATCAGCCACGGAAGCAACACGAGACGGAGGTGGAGGTATCTACATAAAGTGGCTTGACGAAACATGTTCCAGCATCAGCCATACCAACAGGAAAACACCCCACCACCTATAGGCAGAGAAGCTTTCCAAGAGAGGCAGCCACCCAGCCAGCATGAAAATGGCGGCCCAAAATCTATTCAATGTGCCCAGAAACAGTGAAGCCACATACAACGCGAAAGTGGTACTTTTGACCGACGCAAAATCAGTCCTACGTACAATCCTTGCGAAGGACAAAAAAAAGTAGGCCTGCAGGATCCAATGCCCTAACAAGAGCTATATATCATGGCACTAAACTCTACGGCCAGCAGAGTTGTCTTGTTATGGATTCCTGGGCACGTCGTCATATATAGATCTACTAAGGAAACGAATGTGCCGACGAACTGGCGAGGAAAGGGGGACAAATGGAACAAACTATCCCAGCCCCAACTACCAGGGGGCTAAAACACTCATTAAAGTCAGCAATTCATGCCCAATGGAACGAGACGTACGCTCCCACAACACAAGAGAAAGGACCCAATCTACCAGCTCCCAAGAGCCGACCAAGTGATAATCTCCAGAGTAAGAACAGGACACAAATTTTATTAGGCTAAAGCATCACATGGACCCAACTGTTCTTGTGGTGCCACTAGTCATGTCAGGTGCCACCCGCCAAGATGCACAGCATAATTATTCTCCAGGACTGCCCACTACTGGACACGGCAAGACGAAATGACCGGGCTATTACTTCCCAGGGACATGCACCACAAGCTGTATGACAGCCCTCTCGACCTGGGATCACTGCAGAGTTCATCAACACTTCAGCACTCACCATCTAATCTACCATGAAAGACGAAAAAGAAAAAAAAACATTGCCCCATTAGGATGGACATTCACCCAGACCCAGAAGCCTGGAGCCATTGATATGGTTCTCGGTTGGACCCAAAAAGCAACACACAACACCCACAAACATGCACGCGAACATTATGTAAACTGATTTATAAGCCAATTAAAAAAAAAAAAGCAGAAAAAACCCCATCTTTTGTCAGTTGTCTGTTGTTGGCCAATCTCACATGCCCCCCCCCCTCCCCCCCCCCCTCTCTCTCTCTCACGCAGCAGTAGCGGTCAAATAATAGTTGCTCACAAGTACATGTAGTCTGTGTAAAAAATTTGGTGTTTCAACCTTTTTCTTGAATATCTTCAAAGACATGGCTTCCGTGATGTTTAGGGGTAACTGGTTCAAGACTTTGGGCCTGACAAAGGAGCGATGACCATAGCCTATAGTTTATAAGTAATATTATAACGGCTATAATTGGTTCAGTTAATATAGTTTTGTCTAAAACTGACTTTAGTTGCTTCGTTGGTGTTTACGTAATACTACTTGAGATGTAATGTAATGCAAACCCATTAAGAAATTTAAAACATTAGAGATAGATCTAGTAAATAATGCGTTTATCAATGGGTAACCAATGCAAATCTTCCAGGATTGGGGCCATATTGTTTTTAACTTCTTTCCTTCTTTATATTATTATGTCGAGCAGGCATAGTTTTGGGACAATTTGGAGGCGAAGCAAAAGATTATTTTGAAGACCTCCAATTACAGCACCGGTAATCTAATATTGACAGTATATTAATATTCTTCTTCTTCTTCTTCTCATTATTATTATCATTAGGCCCTATTATTGTATATGCATGTGGTTCTCATCAAAGGGGCGTGGGAGGGGGGAGGAGAAGAGAGATAGGGAGAGAGAGAGAGAGAGAAAGAGAGAGAGAGAGAGAGAGAGAGAGAGAGAGAGAGAGAGAGAGAGAGAGAATTAAAGAATTTGTGATAACGCAAAAGAATGTTTAATTATCAATTGTGATCTAAATTGTGTCCATGAGGGCGTAAAAAACACCGGCATTAAAATTTTTTTTTAAAGTCTAAATCTCACTGGGTCTCTCTCATTAGGGGTTCCGCTTCCACACGGTACACAGCTCAAAGATTTTTTCATTCATCCAATAAGAGTAATAAGTAGGTTCTGTCTACGGACATTGGTTGAAAGGCGTGAGTTCGACTGCCACATAGGAGTAAATATTTTTTTCTGTTGTACAGTGGGTGTCGCAATCAATGAGGTCACATTCAACGAGAAGTCGGCTCCAGCGAGGCAATCCTTAATCCCCGATTTTTTCCTCTATATTTCTCTCTAAATGCACGTCAGCTCCAACGAGGTTGCAAACAGACCGAAGTTCATTTCAACGAGGTCGCGATAAACAAATAAAAGCAATTAGCGGCCCCAAAAGCGAAGAATTTTTCTCCTTTCTCTCCATCTCACGCGAAGCACAAGGCCCATCCTCGATTCGTATCACATTGTACATGTATTGCTAGATTTAGCGTGCCTCCTAGTAATGGCCCCGCCCCAAAGCCAAGAGGATGGACGAGGGTTAGCCTACGGTAGGGATAGGAGGGGGAGGGTGGGAACACGATGTGGGCTGTGTAAGGAGATTAAAAGTAAGTTCTAAGCTCCTAATTGGGGATGTGTGAAACTGGATGAACTCTGGATGTGGAGGTCTAGATCGAGACCATTTTTAAAAAAAAATTTTCTTTTCTTCCCCTGACCAGAAAATCCAAGCTCCCGCCTTTACTTTAAGTAGATCTAGGCCTAGATGTGAGAGGGTTTGTTTCCACACGAGAAGTGTTCTGGAAAAAATTATTTTAAAATTCAGAAATGACGGGCAGAACACAGCTCAAACACGAGCACACTGATGCTGTTTGAGATTTTCGTAATCAGGGAGAACAACTGTTTTAATGACTGGTATTGGTACATCGTGTGATATATATATACACGTAACAGCTTACCTCCTTTCTGTTCTTTAGTCGCGTTCAACGAGAGGTCGGATCCAACGAAGACAACAAGCAGGTCCCGGCAACCTCATTGAATGCGACACCCACTGTTCACTCTCTGACACTCTAGTTTGTAGTAGTAGATCTAGTTTTATGTCAAAGGAGACGGAAAACATTATAATAATAAAATGCCTGTCGTTCAGAAGAGATTTTTTTTTCGATAAGTCACCATAAGTGTTGCGGTCTTTATTCTGGCGTCTAATTAAAGCCTTGTTTAAGGCTAGGGAGGCAGCGTCATATCTCAAACACTATGCTTGTCGTCTTTGATACTTGAACAAACAAAAAGCCTACATTTAGAAAAAAATAAAACAAACAAAAAAAACAACTGCTCGACTATTCAAAGTACATGTAGAGCTATGCATGGTATATAATTATAATACTGCCTATCTACGAACGTGTGTGTTTATGAAATAATGTTTTCATTTGGTTGTAAGTAATGCATGTGGTCTTTCCCAGGCCTCAATAAAAAGGGCAGTATCTCAGAGACTAGTGACTGAAGTACATGTAGGCTACATTTACATGTATCAACGTCGTGCAACACGTTCGTTTCCGAATGAGTTGAAGTGGCCGAACAAACCATAACAGCTTCACAAGCTGGGACCACAGTCATCTACGTGCTGCTCGCAATGCGTACGTGTGTGTGTGTGTGTGTGTGTGTGTGTGTGTGTGTGTGTGTGTGTGTGTGTGTTATTCATTAGTAGAGGGTTTTACGGCGCTCGCAACTGCATAAGGTCATATGAGCGCCAAGGGGTGGGTGTCAACAGAGAAGTCCTTACAGGGAATCAGACTTACTCTGCTCACCTCTCTAGCTTCAACAGCACAAGGTCTGCCGCGACTATCAAGGCACCCCGGAAATAGCAGGTCAAAAGAGTGTGACAAACATACAAAAGAAGTAGAGGAAATGACAATAGTAAGGAAAAGGAAAGAAAAAGCCGCAGTTCCCTGTTGCAGATCAGGCACAGTTATGAGCGTGACATGATGAATCAGCCCATTTACAATTCTACTGTGCTTGAACGAGAAATGTCCCCCTTTTGGGAATGGCCTAAAGACACTACAGTCAGTGACTCTGCCCCGTGGTGTGTGTGTGTGTGTGTGTGCGTGTGTGTGTGTGTGCATGTATTTGAGAGCTCTGTGTTTGTGTGTGAGAGGCTGTTCTGGTTCAAACCACAAGGCTAACATAGTAAAAAAAAAAAAATTTTTTTAAAACAAAAAAAACGAAGCAAATGAAACATCAACTTGCCCTTACTAGATATAATCTACATTGTACCACATCCTGTGCAATTACTTGATAAAGCTACACAAAAGATAAAACTTGACTCAAACCATGTTCAGTACTCACAGTGTATTTTTTTCATTAAACATTTCACACACCCAATGTACAGTGGAGTGAAGTCAAATCAAAATACGTGGGGCCACCAGATTCTCTTTGGTTTAGTTTGGTTTTTGGTTTAGAAAGATTACTTCAAAAGGAGAAAAACAAAAATCTGGACCATATTTTCTAAAGCTGACTCCACTATATGCTTGACCACACACAAAGGTATGTTTAAACACCGCAAAGCTCACACACATAATGTTGATTTTAAACAATAATAAGCACAGCCAACCACATGGAAGAGTAAACATATTCCTAGCCGTTTATTAGTTGAGTGAGAAAGCTACTGATCACCAGTTAGCCTGTCAGCTAAGGGGAACTCCCTTTCAGGACTGAGATGATATCACTATTTGTGAAATTTTGGGCCCGAAGAAACACTCCAACCCTTGTTGCACTGCGACACCCACTGTAGTAATGAAGTTCTTGTTCTAAACAGTCGACTACGGATGAGTTGATGTCGTCAGGGGAGTGAAAAAAAACCCAAAGTTCGACTTAACTGCCGGGATCAGTAAAGAGGCACAGGTGTTGGGACTGGAGAAAAAGATCAACTTAATCGAAAATCAACACATGCAAGTTCAACACAATCGGAGTCGACTCTATCTGGCTCTAGTGATGTCTGAAAATGACCATCTGCAGCTTCTGCTGGGTTTTCTCAGAGCCACAACTTATGTCGACACATGCTCACATTATATTAACACATACACAGGAGATAAAACAAGAAAAGAAAGGAAAAAGAATATTTCACAAAGATTAATCAAACAATCTTTGCTTTTCTTCACCTTTTTCTACAAGCACTTACAGGAATCCCAGAGCCTATCAAAATGTTGACACACACTTGCACACACAAAGACACACACACATGAGCACACACACTCACATAGACACATACACATACCATACACACTTACTCATACACACACACACATACACACATAATCAAAACACTAAACCAATATATCGGTGAGAAGATTCTACACCTTTTCCCATTCTCATTCCAAAAGTGCATGCTCTTTAAAAATCTGCACCACTTCTGACTTCCGTGCCAACTGTTGAGGTGTGAGGCCTCCCATGTCTGTCAGAGGCAGAGCCCCATGAAGGAGAAGTGTCTTGGCACATTCCAAATGCTGACCCCCACTTGCTTTGTGTAGTGCTGTAAGCAAACAGAGAGATTTAGAAGAAAAAAAAAGAATTTGTCACAAGTTGTAACTAGACAGCAATGAAATTTAATTACTGTATTATAATTCACACTAAATACCACATACCACACACAACATACATAAACTCATAAAAGTAGCATCGCATAATTAAAGAAAATTCAATGTATGTGAGGCATCCAGAGGAAATAAATAATGAAATCGAAGAAAACGATATTTTTCTTTCTGTTTGGTAAGTTTTGTTGACTTAAAATTTTTTAGGCTCAACACCTTTTACGTCCATTTAAAAACACATTGTTTTTTGGATTTTAATGAAAAACGTCGGTTAAAGGGAATAAAAATGTAAATTTACATCTTCCAAGGACTCTCAAGCTTTGGAAGTCAACAAACTTTGGCAGCTATTTTCTCACGAATCTTACCTCTGAAACCAGTGACTCCGACCTCCATCAATCCAAAATATCTCAACTTCTATTTAAGATAGATGGGTAATTTTTTTCATTGCAGGCAGGACAAATGAAAAAAGCTTTAGTATGATACCGATAACTCCTCATTCCCCAAAACTGACGAGCGCCTGATTTCATCACGTTGTGACACATATTGCGTCTAAAGTATTCTTTTTAATTGATTAAATTGGAAAAAAAATAATAGCCCAGTAAATCTCACCTGATCTTCCTCTTCTATCCTGAGCATTCACATCTGCTCCAAATGACAGCAAACTTGTGAGTACCTCTGTTTGGCCCTCCTAGAACAAAAAAATATGGAAATGTACATAAGTTCACTTTAATGTAAAACCTTAAAGAAATACGTATAAAACTATAAAGACTCTTAGAAGACAAATTTGCTGTAAGAATGGAAATTCTTTAAAAAGAAATATTAACTTGGAAACATCCATTGGTTGCTCTCTCTCTCTGTGCATAAAGCGCAAATACAGATGCTCAGACCTTCTATCATTTTTTGCTACTCGAATATTCATTTGCCCTGGGTGCCCCCACAAAGGCAGTAAAATTTCCTTTCATTGGATATGTTACAGTTGGGTTTGTTTGGGAATGAGTGTCCATCTACATGAGTAAAAAGTTTCAAGTTGAGCCATATTTTCCACCACATAAAATCAGTTGTGAAAAATATTTTGAATAAAGAGCAAGCTCATAAGAGAAAATTAAGAAATGGTCTGTCTTTACATACAGTTAAACTTTGTTACACTGTGCCCCCCCCCCCCTTACCTCCTTTCTGTTCTTTAGTCGCGTTCAACGAGAGGTCGGATCCAACGAAGACAACAAGCAGGTCCCGGCAACCTCATTGAATGCGACACCCACTGTTCACTCTCTGACACTCTAGTTTGTAGTAGTAGATCTAGTTTTATGTCAAAGGAGACGGAAAACATTATAATAATAAAATGCCTGTCGTTCAGAAGAGATTTTTTTTTCGATAAGTCACCATAAGTGTTGCGGTCTTTATTCTGGCGTCTAATTAAAGCCTTGTTTAAGGCTAGGGAGGCAGCGTCATATCTCAAACACTATGCTTGTCGTCTTTGATACTTGAACAAACAAAAAGCCTACATTTAGAAAAAAATAAAACAAACAAAAAAAACAACTGCTCGACTATTCAAAGTACATGTAGAGCTATGCATGGTATATAATTATAATACTGCCTATCTACGAACGTGTGTGTTTATGAAATAATGTTTTCATTTGGTTGTAAGTAATGCATGTGGTCTTTCCCAGGCCTCAATAAAAAGGGCAGTATCTCAGAGACTAGTGACTGAAGTACATGTAGGCTACATTTACATGTATCAACGTCGTGCAACACGTTCGTTTCCGAATGAGTTGAAGTGGCCGAACAAACCATAACAGCTTCACAAGCTGGGACCACAGTCATCTACGTGCTGCTCGCAATGCGTACGTGTGTGTGTGTGTGTGTGTGTGTGTGTGTGTGTGTGTGTGTGTG